TAAATATTTTTGACTTTTTAGGTAATCAAATTTTTATAATGCAAGATTATTCCTTCTGTTTTCAAAGATTTCTGAAAATTTTTTTAATAATTGCCAATAACACTTGAAATTTTCACATTAATATCAGAAAACGCTAATTCCGCACTTGTTCTGTTTAAAATTCTATTTCAAACACTTATAACTTGCTACATTTTTTTCACCCTTTTAATTACAAGTAAAAATTTTTTTATTACATTTTTTTCACCCTTTTAATTACAAGTACAAATTTTTTTATTACATCTTTTTACATTTAAAAAAAGATTTTAAATAAGGGAATTTTAGTATCTTAAACATTGTTCATTTCCCTCTGTCTCCTTGTAACAAACATTAAGCAAATCACAAACCTGTCCCCCTTTACGTGCATAGGTAATTCTTCTATATTTAAACGGTCACAGATTAAATATTTAGTTCGCTTTTGTAGACAATGCAAAAGTTTTGTTTTCGTATATTGATGTACTTTTAGTACAGAAAAATTACTTTTTGTTGGGAAAAATTAATGCCCAAGACTCTTTTTACATAAAAAGTTTTGTCATGTTATTAAAAATTATACCTGAAGATTCTTCTATTCTCCTCCGTACGCTTCTCCCTTTTTAGAGAAAAAAGGGAGGTTCAGAGGAGAATTGAATTTCCACAGGCCATGAATAATGAGTTATTAGTATATGTATTTTCATGATGATTGAATGAGATTAATCCCGAGATGATTGCACTATTAGTTTAGGAGTTATAAGTGCTTTACCTACAAAAAGTACAGTTTTGTACTTGAACCTGTTTATGCACCTGACATAGCTATCTATCTAAACAAGAGAATCAGTTTCTCCTAAATACTTTTTTACACTGAATCAATTAAAACTTACGTGTACACTTTAGGTTGCTATCCAGGGACTATCTAAACATGTAAGGTACAGTTCCCGATGTAATTTTTCATGCTGAATTGAATCATGCAAAGAAACAGGAATCAAGAAGAAAATATTTAATAGTTTTGTGTACAAAAAGTATAATTTTATATTTGTAATGACTATTTATGCATGCTACATTGCCATACAAGAGTAGTGAGATATTGTTTCCCAATATTTTTCCTCGTTTAATTCTTGGGATTGGTCACTTTTAAATTTAGAATAAAAAATTATGTTGGAAAATTTATCAGTAGTTGTTCAGAAAGTACCAGGATATCATTGCTTAAGTGTAAGCCTGTATTATAAGTACAACTTTTTAAACATAAAAACTATTGTAAGTTTAAATCCAATCATCTCAAGTTTGCTTTCATTCAATTCAGAGTGAAAAAATGTGTCGAAAACAATGCCTCGTGTGCGGGTCTAGAAAAAATTCAATTTTAGTCCTTAATCAATTTTACATGGAAGTGTAAAGAGGAAGGGATATTATTTTTTCTGAAGAAATACCATTTTATTGATACATTTACTGGACTACTCATCAAAACCTCAAGAAATTGTGCTCATGAAGAATTGTTGTAATGGTGAGTTGTGCCCATGACAAATTGTTGCTATATCAAGCGGTGCCTGCAACAACTTGTTCCCACAACGAATTGTGCCTACTGCAAATTGTGCTCACAATGAATTGTTTCTTGACAAATAGTGTGCAACAATCCAAGCAGAATCTTTGCTATAGTAAAAATTCATGCATTGTATACGGATATGAAATAAATTTGAAAATATTAATCTGTTCAGGTCATTTTACCAAAACATTTATAAAAGTATAGTTATAAATTAAAAAAGACAATCTTGATAAAACTATCATTTAAGTTTTTTTCTACCCTAAAGTGAACTTATACTTTTTTATACACAAAACTCATTTATTCCCTTTTTATTAAAGATTATTAAGAGTTTGAATGAGTAAAAACATTAATACGTAGAGGAGATATTGATTTATGTTCCATAAAGAATATTTTCAAAAAAAAAGTACCCAAAGTTTTATTTAACCAATTAAAATGCACATATTTTCAGAAATTTTATTTGAATTGGGACAATCTTATCTTATAAAAAAGCTTATTTAAAAATATTTTTTTGATAAAATGCTAGAAGAGTTGGTTGCAGCACCAAAATTGTGTTATGCCAAAATATGTCATGAACTTCATTGATACCATTAAAAAAAGAAAGATATAAATAAAAAATATTTAACTGTTAAATCATGTCACATTTTCAAATATTAACTTTCCATCTGATGCCACATATTAAAAAAAATGCAGATCATATTTCTCAGAAAAACATTTATTGTGAAATAACACACAAGCTATATTTCATGCAGTAGCAAATTTCCCCATCAATTCTACTAGTCAACAAAGAGTTTATGCTTAAATTTCAAATTAGTCTGGCTACAACCCATCATCACATCTTTTAGATTATAATATTCATCTAATGATTACCTGATATTTTGAGAAAATCATGATGAAATTGAAAGCATTAAAACAATTAGTTTAATGCTACAACTTATTCTACATAATTAATTGAATTGGAGCCAGCTGAACAGTAAAAGAGGTGTACATCATGTTTCTACTCATGCGAATATTGATAACAAGCAATTTTTTATGCAATGGCATTAGTATATTGTGATATTGCTTACACAGCTGGAAATAAAATTATGTACATATAAATGAATACATAAAGGCATTTCAGTATCATTTAATAAAAAGAGTGGAGGTAGCACGCTCTACTCCTTTCAAACAATTGCAAACCTTTGAAAGAAAAATACCAAGTGGTACACATATTAAGTTGACTTTCTGAACTTCATTCAAATCAGAAAACTGTAAACTTTTTTTTTCCACCATATAACTTTCTAAAAACTTTTTACAAGCACACATATGAAAAAATAGAGGAAAATAAAGGGAATCGGTTATAGAATTTTTAAAAAGAAAAATGTTAGGTTAAAACTGTGTAATTTTGGATGTTAATACAAGTAAATTTTACATGTTTTAAATTAAAAAGAAAAACACGATAATTTGATCGAATAATCAGATTTTAAAAATTTTATTGCTTGAGGGGATTATAAAGCAATACAACAGGCTTCGTTTAAATAAACCTACTTTTTTATTTTTGCAATAAAAATTCTTTAACAATACCCTCTATAATACGAAAGATATAGGACAACCAAAAGAAACGTAGTTGTAATAAAATTCAAAAACTTTTTTTTAATGTTTTCCTGTTGCTACAAATTGTTCCATTATGCAATTTTCTTTCTTACATACAATATTAACATTTATTTATCTGAAGAAAATTTTTTCTAAAATTTTCAATAAATTATTATTCACTCCAGCAATTATCAGCAAGTTTTTGAATTTTTAAAATAAAAATATTAAAACTATAAACTTTTACCCTAAATTTATGAAGGACTAATCCTTTATTTTTGAAATATAATATATAAGTTTTGTATTAAAAACTTTCATCAATTTTTATTTTTAAAGAAATACATCTGTTTAGATTCTTGAAATGAATATTTTTTTTCCAATAACGTTAAGTTTGTCGAACATATTATTGTATGTGGAAAGTATTTTATATTGAGCAGTTAATCTTAGAGATCGGTACAAAAGTCAAAATATAAAATAACCTTGACGAATAATAGCTTCAAATTTATGATTTTTCACATTTGACTACCACTATATTTTTCAGTATAATTTAAGGGAAGAAAACTTTTCTAGGACTAAGAATCGAAGATATAATCGAATTATATAAGAGTGTAGTATTATGCAACAGTTGCGATTTTAGATAGGTCCTTGAAACAATTATAATTGCAAACAAAAAGAAAATAATGATAAAATATACGTTTATTTGCAGGCAAATCCATTTATTTATTGATATTTTGTTTCTAACAGTCAAAAATATATTTAAGTCATTCAAAATTTTAAGAAGTCAGAATTCAAGCAGATTTTCTTCCACATTGACCCAGAACTAATAATGTGATAATTATGTTTATAAAACTTATTCCTCAATTAGCATAAAAGTCATGTTTAATTTTAACCAGTGAAAACAAATTGGCTATAAGAAATTGTTTTCTCTCAAGAAACTGAAAATAATCTAGAAAAGCTTAAAATAAACAATTTTACTCAGAACTACACCAATGCATACACATTTGTAACACTTATTTTATGGTCAAATTTAATAAAAAAATGAAAAGGAAAAGAATTATCAACTTAAACATTTATAATTAACAAGATGCCCTCATGATGCTAAAATTTAAATCATAAGTAACATTCTCTACACACGATGTGTGTTAAGAGAAATTAGTACCATGCAATCTATAAGATGTTATCTAGTTCTAACACATAAATAAAGCAAAAACAAAAATCTTAAGCAGTAACTAAATGTTCACCCATGTAGCATAAGGCATTGAACCAACAATTATCAGTGATAAAAACTTTTACAGTAAATAATAATTACAATTTATAAGTTTATTTAAGTTTTTTTAAAATTTTAATATTAAATTAAATCTTGAAAGACTGTATCAAATAGGAAAAAAATGAAATTTTATATTTCAAACAACATCATATCAGTTAAAATATGAATATTTATTTGATGAATTTTATGCTTTAAAATATATTTTGCCTTATCCTAACACTATCAGAAAAAAATATTCAAAGAAACATCTTTGCAGTTCCGTAGAATTTAAAAAAAAAAATTTAATACATGCATTACACATTGTTATTTAAAAAAATGAGATTTATTCAATTCACAAAATATCTATCCTTTGAATTGGGTGACTGATTTACATAAAAACATTACAAGTGAAAAACATTAATAGTAAAATGCATGCAAATTCTTTTTTTTCTTCTTCTTCATAATAGCAATAATTAAAAAAGACGTTGGATCAACTAATATTATAAATGCTACATGGGCAAATTTGTGCAATAGGTGCATATTTCTAGGAATTGAAAAAATAATAATGGTGCTAACTACACTCAATAAGCTTAAAACATCGCATCACTGAAAAAATAGCATACATGGAACACATCATACCTTGCTCAACTTGAATAACTGTTTTGCTCCTTTCGGGGCCAGAATGAGTACCGTCTGAATAGAAGAAAAATAGGAAACAAAAATGTAGAAAAAAAAAAGAAAACAAAATCATAGCAAACACAAAGCATCAGAAATATGAAATAATAGCCATTCACTTGCATATTTAATAAGGCATCTAGCTGCACATGATTGATTTAAAAAAAAAAAAATTCTTCTTAAATTTCTAATTTTGATAAATCTCAGGCATTCCATGTTCAGCATGTGCAAAGAACAATATGAAAAAAAAAAGTATATTCAATCAGAAAAACAAAATATAGAGGAAAAAGAAATTATAGCACAGCACATAACAGCTGCAAATATACAAAGGAATAGGTAAATATTGCTGAGATATAAGAATAATTGTGTATGCATGATTTTTTTACTCATTTTTAAACTAATTTCTGCAAAGGAAATGTGGCAAAAAATAAGACAAATATCAGATAATGTTAGATAACAATAGTATTCTTAGAATGGTACTTAAAAAGATGCAGAGCAGTTTGAAAAGGTTTGTGAAGTGTAAGCAAACTCTTCTATTTGTGGGAAAATGGTCTAACTCATTTCCACAACATGAGTTTTCATAATTATAAACATATTATAAGCAATGTTAAAAATTTAAAATTAGTCAGTTTTTTATATCTAAAAATTTCTTCATTTAAATAACACATTATCTGATTATATTTTTATTTATTTTTCAGTCTTATTATTTTTTAAATTTATCAATCGTAATACAATTAATTTAATTATGAATAAAACAGAGAGAAACTATTTTAAATGTACGATTTTGCCCAGCAATTTAATTAAAAGCTCTCCATATTAAAGCTGTTTAAAAATATTTTAAATTTGTAACAAGCGCAAATTATCAAGTTAGATGGCTGACGACAGAGAGCGAGACACAGAATGGAGACAGTACTATTTTGTGTCAAGAGACAGATTAAAATATTTCCCTATAGAACTGGAAAGACCACCAATTATTTTCTAACTTGTTTAATGCGCTTATTATGTTGCATTTAATCATTTTATTACTAGCATAAAAAAGAACAATCTTACTTTCTTTTTAAACAGAACTAAGCAACATTTATTTTTTACACAACTGTATTAAACATTAAACACAAAAGTTCATAAAGAAATCTAGTGGTGCTGAATTTTAATGCGGTTTATTTCTCAGAACTTTAAAAAGTGAAAAACTTTCATGAAAAGCAACCAAAACGCTGAGCTCTTCTAAATAATAATAATTTTCAGAAATTACAATTTTAACTATGACAACTTTTAAAATAATGAATATTTCAGGATATCTAATAAGTCAAACAATGGTTAAAAAAAAAAACTGGATGAAACTTAATTCTAGTGATTTTTTTTAATCTCTTTTCATTTTATTAAAACATTAGATATAAATTAGATTGCTAAAAAATCATAAAACATAATTGCAGTTCATTAATAAGATATTCAATACATTAGTATTGTTGCTTTAAAAGATTATATCTAGAATTTGATTGTTTTATAAAAGTAGTTCTAATTTTTAAACAATAGGTTATTTAAACAAAAAAGGGGTAAGGCTATCAATAGATATCAAGTTATTGAAAGACAGAGGAAAATACTTTAAAAGAATTTCCAATAAAAATAAATAGTTAGTGTGATCTTTTGGATGCAGTAGTTTTTTCTAAGCAGGCTATGTTAGCACACTTGGGCTAGTCATTAGCAAAATGTTAAATCTAAATTTAAGATAAATTATCTTAATTATGTAAAGTTTTGTTTTATTAAAAATATTATATAAATTTAAACTTTATCAAAAAAAATTAAAAATAGGCTAAAAAACCTAATTAAAAAATGCTTACAATTAAAGTAAGTAGTAATAAATAGTATAATGCACGCAATTTCCCAATAAAATTTGTAATTGTTAATTGATTTAGGTTTGATTTAGTACATGTTGTAATAAAAATTCAAAACAATATAGTATTGAAGTTAATTAAGATATTAGAACAGGATCATAATTCTATGTTGCTTGTGATATCTCAAGATAATTAGCATTAAAATATTCTATACTATATCTCTAATATTTTGAAATCTCAAATATTCAATTAGGTATTAATTTCAAATTAACAGTTTTAAAGAATGTCATTTCAAATAGAACATCCCTCTTTAAGAAAATTGTTAAATTATCTTCTTTTAATATACTCATTTCTTCAATATGAAATAGATATCAGAACTATATTACTAAACTGATGAGAATTTATTTATAAGATGAAGAAATTTATCATTTTAAAATTAAACCCTACAATAACATTATCTGAAAAAATAAACACAGAATTTAAAACATTAACTTAGTTATGCAACAATGGTGAATGACATATCATAGCATATATTTTAGACATATGAAACAATACTTCTGCAGGCAGCTTGTATCGGTAACATTAAAATTATCGCAAGTAAAAAGTTGACTAACACCATAAGTGTAGCAGAGTAACAGTGTCAATGGTAATTTTCTGAAATGTTTTAAGATGTAATCTCTAAACAATTTAAATACCTCGAATATCGTCATCTTCAAGAGTTGCATTGCTGTCTGTTGACTCCTTCACTTGAGAACCACCATCAGATTTCTTATTTACCATGCTACGGCCTATGCAAATAAATAACATTACTTTTTCATTTAAATAACTGCGGTAGTTTATTTTTTAGCAGTAATAAAAAAACTTGTTTATAAATAATATAGTGATGTGAAAAGATATAAGAAAAAAAATGCTTGCTTGAAAGTGTAAGAGGAATTTCCATCATTAAAGCAAATATTCCACAGAAAAGTTAAATATCAAATTTGTTTTTTAAATATTTTTAAATAGATATTGAAATTAGATTAGAGGTTTCAATAAATATTGCTTAGAAGCATGGTCTTAGCAAAAGATATGTTTGAAGGGTAGGAAAATGTAAAAATATGCTTCCTACTTGAATTAAAAAAAAAAAAAAAAAACACTTTCAGGAACAAAAGCAAACTGGAAAGAAAATCAATCGTTTAATCTGCCAATAGGCAGAATAGAGTAGTGCAGCCTGTTTCCAGGAAAATAAAGAAAACAGATATTTAAATATGAACATAATAGTTCTTTATTACAATGCTTTTTTTTTTAATGTCAGTCCAAATCGGATAAATAAAAACACTGACAATTTTATTTTTTTAATTCCCCAAAATTCAGACTTTTTTTCCTTGAATGAAAAAATAAATGAAAACCACTTTTCTTTTTTTTTTTTTTGAATTCATTGCAATTTTATGTCCAATAGTTACCCTTGTTTAATATTATCTGAATAACACTATACAGTATCGGAGAAATGGCAATGGTAATAAAAATTCACTTAGGATTTACAAAAATTGGATATGATGAAAGTAACAATGTAAGTATCGTTATCTTTTCTTAAATATATGTAATAATGATATACATATTTGAATATATGTACACAGCAAGGTATATATGTACATCTCATTATTATTATATATGTAGCAGCACTGTCAAGTCACTGCTAGGTTTCCCCGATGCTATATCGAGACATTGTAACTTGATTCTATTAACAGATATATTCTCAAATGTACAATGCATTACGAATCTGTGATGGATAACAAGGTAAGAATTATCTGTGCTGTTTTTATAATCAAAGAAATAGACTTATTTGACTCTCTGGCAGTTAATGTTCCATAAATATACATCAAGTATACTATCTTGGGGGAAAACGTTGAGCATCGCTTTTAAAGTAATCAACTGTATCAATCCAGTACAGCCTTCTACCCATGATCTGTTATAAAAGTTTTCAATTAATCTCTCATGTTATGCCGTTCAGATCGACTTCTATTTTCTCGTAACATTTCTGGTCTTAAGTTGCAATGCATTTTTTAATCTTTATGATGCGCTCTACTTTCCCTAAAAGTTTGTCTCAACTTCTTTCTGATATCTTGTATAGTGCAATTAGAAATAAAGTTGAACCGCCTCGCTAACGTGAATTTCGCTTAAAGTGAACAAATTTTTGATTCCCTTTCAACTTGTATAAGAATATAATACTTTCACGAGCTTTTAACGTGAAATATCTTCAAAGGTGAACTCTAGTTTCATTACCCTTAATAAAATCCTCATCTACTTGAGTAAATATCGTTAAAAGCTAATAATTTAAATTCAGAAAAACATTTATTTTCCCGTAAGATGATCCATTTTCTAGCCCACACATTCTGCAACAAAAAAAAAAACTTAACTGAGTGAAATAATATTTTCTTTACACATAAGTCACAAAAAAATGACTTTCTACATTAAGTGCAATAAAATTTGAGCTCTAAAGAAGATAATAAACACTATTTAAGTAAGTTAGTTTGATCCAGAGTGATTATTTTTCAGATTACATGAAAACTCAAAATGAATGAAGAGTAAAATAACTAAAAAGCTTGAGAAAAATTCGCATAAAAGTTTTTCATGCGTCAAAGAAACAATTCAAAAAGACAAGTATACTCCCTTAACAAACAAGCAACAAATAATGTTATGCCCCACTAGCAAAGTTTTCTAAATTAGTGATATAGAAAGAAAAATGCTAGTTTTTTAAATACTACACGTGCACATCCCAACTATATACTAAAAATATTGCAAGACATTTTGTCCAAGTATACGCATATAAAAGATTTATATATATATATATTTTTTATCATTTCCTTCTCTAACAGATAATAAAAAAATGCATAGATAATATAATAGTTTAAACCAAATAAAATGTATTTAAAATAAATCTAAGAATGAAGGTATAACTTAGATGATAAACTTATATAGGTAAAGTATGTAACACAACGAGCAATTTATGACACTTAAAAAATAACACAACATGGAGTAATAATTATTTTTCTTTTATAAATTATAGAAATGGCTTTTTACATAATATAACCATGCAAGAAACACATTCATAAGGGAAAGAATTATAAAAACTAAATTACGAAACTAAATTTAAGAGAATGAGAAACTTATTTTGTTAAAATTGAAATTAATTCATTACTTTATCAACTTAACAAGGAATAAAATTTAATCATGCAATAACACATCATAAAAAAAAGCAAATATAACAGCGATAGATTAATATATGAAGACTAAGAATAAGGAAGCTTTTGCATAAAATTAGCTAATAAGAATTGTTTACAGAGAATAATCCAGTAAAAGTATTTAGCAACAATGCAAAAAATGCTAGCGGCATAGTTTAAAAGATTTAATTTTTGTAAAATACAACGCAGAAAGATAGATATAAAATATGAAGAAAACATGCTCATGGCAGCATTAGAATGTATAAAAAAGATTTTAAAAGCAAAGAATGCTTTTGAATAGCACATTTGTATATATACATTATTGTATATATAACAAGCATGCGAAACAATTTGTATCAACTCACTTCCCACTTCAGAGTTAAAGCACAAAAAATTGTGATACAGTTAGAATATGTATCCAGTCCTTTAAATAATTTTAATACATAACACTTTGTAGGCTATAAAATGTGGTACAAGATTTGGATAAAGACATTTTTAGTATTATAAACATCATATTAAAAATTAAATTCATATAAAAAGACAATACACAAAACTTTTTATCAAGAAAATATGAAAAATAGCAGTAAGTTTATGGTCGAGAAGAGGTCTTTTGTTTTCATTATATCTTCAAAAACAGTGAATTAAGGATTTTAGAATAAAATAAAACATCTATAATTTGTATCGAAAGACAAGCAGAACATGTAATTCAATTATTCTATAAATAATCGAAGAATTAAAGAAATATGCTCATCTTCTCAGAAAAAAAAAGATTAAAAAATTTTGCTACTACTTTTTAATTTTTTTTTACCTACAAAGGTATAAGCCTACACAATGATTCTTTCAAAAAACTCCCAACATAAATAGAATATAAAGAAATAAATTATTCAATAGACTTTGCAGTTCTAAAAAGTTATAACATGTAAAAAAAAAAAAAAAACCTGAAATTTTTTAATGATTAAATTTCACAATTAAAAAAAAAAAAATAGATTGTATAAGCAAATTGTTATGATGACAAATTATTTAGCTTAATAATAAAAAAAAAATTAACTTATCAATCAATATATAATTTACTTGAAAACCTGTTGTGATTGTTTTATATGAGAATATAGTAAGGTATTTTTCATTACAAAACAGATAATTACTGCAGTTAAGAAAAAATATATATATATATGGTTTAATAAAAAGATAGAGATTTACATTCTAAATATAATGGGCAAACAAGATTATATTTTTATAATCAATATAAACACTTATGAGCAATACAGAAAAAAAATATAGATATTTTAAATAGAAATTATTTATAGTACTTAAAACAAATTTTGAAATAAAACACTTATAAATATTAAGTATTAGAATGATATTAACTCGTAAATAATAGTGTTTAAATCTTAACTTATATCAGATATATACAAAATTGACAGAAAATAACAAACTTACTAGAAAAATTTCTGGTCGCTAACATGGTAGTTAAAATAGCTCCCTGTAAAGAAAATAATTAATGATGAAAAACTGTGGTAAAAAAAAATTTAAAAAAAACAACAAATTTTTTGATAACTTTTAAGACAGCCGAAGTTTTTCCAAAACTACAAACTGGATGTCTAAGCTTTGATGTGATGCACTTGAACACGTGATAAAAATTTATATCTCCTAAGAATCTAAGTAATAAAATCAAATTATTTCTGAAATACTGCAGTTTTATGAAACTATTTGGTCTTTCTTTAAGCATCTAAATTTTTCAAATTTAATTATTGCAAAGGTGGGAGGATAGATTAATTTTAAAAAAATTTCATTTTCTATTGCTTGAACATTTTATAATTCCCATTAAGCCTAACAGACAATTTAACAAAATCTACTTTAATTCATTAATTATCACACCACTTAGTCAATTTTGTATAAAAATTTCCTTGTTTACTACAGCTTTTCCTTTGAATAACATAAAAGAATAAAGGTTTTCTGAGCGAGAAAAAGACTATGTAGTACTCCAATCTGATAGAGCAGGGGTTTCCAACTGGCGGCCCGGGGAGCCTTTTTTTGTGGCCCGCGAACTAAAATATATTAGTTGTCATTTTTTGCAGACAATTTTCGTAAAAAAATCTATATGGGTTTAAAATACTTTTCTCGTTAATAAAAACCTAATTTCTTCGTTTCTGCGAAATTTAACATACCAACAGTGCAATAAAATTTATTTCTCAGGTCTTACATCCAAAAAAATATTTATTCAAATACAAAAATAATTGTGTATGTTGCTCTTTTTTTATTTCATTTTTTTGTATTTTGTGAATATAATTTAGCATGTGTGTATCAGAAATTTTCTCGAAGAAATTCTCCGATTTAACTTTTTGAAACCACTCATTTTGGACGAAAATATTTACACACACATTTGTAAATTTTAAATGTAAATATCTATTTTCTGGTGGTTGCAGCAGACAAACATCAATTTTCTCATTGAGCATTTTGTGTGTTACTATGTTAGTTTTAATACTAACCTTTTTAAAGTTTTATATTTTAACAATTAGATATCTGTTGCACATAAATTGTTCAATACATAGGTGCACATTAAAGTTGTTGTAGCTCGAATTTTTATTACTTATTTAGTGTTTTTAAAAATATTATTAATAACAATGAAATATTTTTAAAAATCAACTTCTTATTTTAATTTGTAATTCAATCCTTTTGTTTTGTACAACTTGGTAAAAATCTGACAGTAATATTTAATGTTCCTTCAAACATAAAAGAGTCCTACCTAAAATTTTGACAAAGTTGCGGCCCGCCATTTGATTTGTGTTTTTAATTGTGGCCCCCGACCTCATGTAAGTTGGAAACATCTGTGATAGAGTTTTGGGTTGACGTGAAAATGCGAGTACATGTTGAAAGAAATCTATTTTAAAAAGCATAAAATAGATTTATGTATCCTTAGACTAGTAGAATAAACTTGAATCTTTACTTTCAACAAAATTGTTAAGTCTGTATAAAACAATGAAATTTTTTAAATAGGATTTTATAGGATAGCTAATTAAATTATTCATTGAAAGGAGGAGTTTTTGCTTTGAAAAAATGCTTCGCAATCTCAATTATTAATTTTTGTCAATTCCTTTTCGGAATAATACCAACAGGATGGTACCAAGCAGACGGATACCTTCCTAACAGCCATATATTACGTAACAGAAAAGCATAAGTGGCACTGCCTATAAATTCACTGAAGATAGCCTCCACTTAAATTTATGTACTCTTAAACACTTCGTTGGACACGAAAACCTCACAGATCATTGCTGATAGATGTTTACTTTGTACATGACAGTTTAAGTTCCTGAATGTTCTAAATATGCCACTAGAACACAATCACATAAAGTGAATGAAGAATCAGGAGATGGAACCTTACTATACTGACCAACATCGAAGTGTCGTTTAAAAAAACATTGCCCTCCCGTCACAGATTTACTTTTTTAATAATTAAGAACAGATATAACACAAGTAACTCAACAACTGACCATATAATGTAGCATTCTTTCCTTTTCCAAATTCCACCCTATCAACTAATGTAAGTTATTGTGCTTTAGTGAAACTGAAATTATCATAATTGTTTCAAATTTATCATCACATTCTGTTTCTTGCATTATTTTTTAACATTTCTTTCAGCCTTTATCATTTTTATTTATATTTTTTTTCTAGTTGCAGAAATTGTTTACTTTATTTATTTTTCTTTTTTTAAGTTTAGTATAATTCTGTCTACTTAAATCTGCTGCCTTTGAATTTTTTATTGTATTAATTTATTTTTGTGATGGCGAATTACACATCCCATGCCAAATTTTTTTTCCACATAAGAGATTTCCGGCGTATTTGACATGATATAACGTGCAAACAGAATTACTAATGCCTGCAAAATACTTAAGTTTGAAATGCCTCAGTTAGCTTAGTACCACCCTATAAATTATAAAATTGTTTGCAAATCTTTTCATACCAGAACAGATATAACACAAGATGATTTATATTTTGAATGTTTAGATAAAAATTGTTCATTACAAATTCTTAGAAGTAAAAGTGCTTACTTTCAACTTTCTCCTTGCGTTAAATTTCTTTAAGCAGTCAACTGTTTCTTGACGATGAAGTGTTGAAGCAACTCTCTCTCGTTGCTGAAACACAAAAATAAGATTCATTGAATGCAATACTTTGACTCATTGAATTACAATGTAATTTTAAGTACTTAAACTTACGCAGATCCATGGGTGCTTCAAGGCCTCAGATGCTGTTATTCTTTTAGCTGGGTTTACTGTCAGCATACTGTTGATTAGGTTTTTGGCTTCAGGAGTAACTGTATCCCATTCCGGCGAGGGGTACTAATTATTACAAGAATATTAAAATTTAAAAAAATTAGAAGTACAAGGAAAATACAAAAAGTGATAAACACAAAAAGTAATAAATACATCATAAGCTCCAGCTTTGATTTGTGCATAAAGTCTATGTTGATCTTCATCCCAAAATGGAGGATAACCGACCAGAAGGATATATAAAATGACCCCTACAATTATATATAATATTGAATTAATATAATGTATTTTATAAGCTAAATGTGCATCTTCTTTCAATAAAACTTTACATAAAAGTAATCTTATAATTTTCAATCAAATAATAATTCGAATACTAAGAGATTTTAATTTGGAATTAGTTTTAATGATCAATAATTTCAATAAATAATATATTATACAAGTTACAATTCAAATTAAACTAAGAACCTAGCATAATCAGTTGAAAGAGATAAGGGTATGTTTATAATGCTATAATAATTCCAAATCTAATTTGAACTTCAATCTATATTATAGCAAGCATTACTATAAATTCACACATTTTCATTTGAATAAATTAATTCTTTAACAGTGGACTTTAAACAGAGTTACTCAATGGAAGGAAATGTTAAAGAGAATAAAATTTCATTAAAAGAAATAGTTGACTTATTATTGTTTAAAGAATAAGATTATTAATAAATATTTAAAAAAAAAAAATTAAGCTTATGCCTAGACCAAAGAAAAAAAAAAAAGCTGACAGAATTTTTTGTTGAACTTTTAACATATCTTTCTATAATTAGATATATTTGAAAATTAAAAAAGGGGCCTTAGCATTACCACAAGCCCATATATCAACAGGTTTTCCATATGGATCTTTCTTAAGCACTTCGGGTGAAAGGTAACCAGGTGTCCCAGCAAAACCTAGGCATATCAGACAAAAAAATCAAGAACTAGATCAACAGAAAACTAAAAATAAATAAAGTATAATTAAGATAGTTAGCAACAAAGATATATTTAAATAGCATTAGTATATAGAGAGGAACCTGCTTATAAGAAAATGGGGAATGTAGGACAATTAATGCCTTGAATCAGAGTGCTTGTTACATCAAAGTTGGCCAAAATCATTAAAAATTGAAACTTTAATGCACAAAACAGAATTAGAAGATGTTTAAAAATGGTTCTGTAGCAACCACAGCACCATCTGAATTGGCATAGATGCTCAGAATTTGGACGCAGAGGACATTCCTTTTTTCCTACCTTCTCGTAGTTATTCAAATTTATGTGTCTGCATGCCATTTGATATGAATAAAAATATTTGGCACTAAGTTTTTCTTTATCTAAAACCCCGGGCTTTAGCTAGGGCTACATTTGTGTTCAACCTCTTCTGTTCAAAATTTGTCTGCATGCCTGCTCAATAATATTTTAAGGACGAAAGGCGGGAAAACTCTTTTCCCGCTCAACAACATTTTACTTAAAAAACTATTTTCCTGCTTAATAATAACACACGATTGGATTACAATGTTTCTACAGTATTAAGCCGTTTTTGCTGTACTACACCCGGTGGTACTGGTAGTGCTAAGGAGTGAATATTCTATATGGGGTCCCATGTCCCCAACACCTTAATTTAACTATCCCGCTCCAGTACTGGTACTGGATATAACTACTGGTACTACTGTACTACTATAATAACTGGTACTACTATAATAAGTATACTTTTTATAGTAGTAAAACTCACAAGTAAAATATTAATATTTACAAACTATTAATTTTAAACTTTGTGAAAGAGTGTTAGTCGTATAGTACGCTCAATGATACTAAAACAAAACTATATTAGGATATATTAGTAATTCTATGTGTTAATGTTAAATATGTCATCAGTATTTTGAATCATTCATGCTAAAAAAATAATTTATTTAAAGCTTTTCTAAGAATCTAATGGAGAAATATATCTGGATACTGTATCAACCACAGCGCCATCTGAATTGGCAGTAGATGCTCAGACTTCGGACAGAGAGGGCTTTTCTTTCCTCCCCTCCTTCTAGTAATTATTCAAATTTATGTTTGTCAGTGTGCTATTTGATATTAATAAAATATTTGGCCTTAAGCTTTTTATTTAAAACCTTCACGCTCTAGTCAGGGCCACAGTTCACTTTTAATAATGTTTTATTGATAATGATTAGAATACTATTTGGGTTTTTTCAGTGACAATTTAGTGTTGAACAGGCATGCATGAAAAACATTTTCAGTAAATAGCGATTTCTCAGGCATCCTATGTTTCCAGATGCATAAGGCAAAGGTTGTTTTATTATCCCCATCACTGTCAGAGGATGTAATTTACAAACATTTTTCTGCAACAAGTAACTAGGACAACACATGAACAGTGATGTACAATCTATTGAACGTTTTCATAACATTTTCTGTAAGTTATTGTAATAGGCTTATTCATGGCAAGACACACATTAAATTTTACATTGAATAAACTATATTTAAATAAATAAATATAGATTTTTTTCAAACAACTTTAAAAAAAAAATAAATATGAATTGTCCACAATTATTAAAAAAGTATTAGTTAGAGATACTTAGTATAAACTAAGGAAGTTTTTTATGTGTGTGCAATTGAGTAAGTTTTACGCAGAAGGAGTTTCTAAGTTAGTAAAGCACTATAACAAGTAGCTTGAATTTATATGGTGGATGTGTTACTTAGTTTTCAGAAAAAAATGACGTCTATGTTCGAACTGCACTCAGATATTTTACAAAAAAAAGTGCGCATGAAACAAATAGATGAGGTTAAAAAGAATGTGGAAACAAGAAAATTGGAAAATGAAGGCAAACAAGACAGCTTTGGAGAGAAATGTTAGAGAAGAATGTTTGAAGAGGAATGTTAGAGAGAAATGTTTGGAGAGATTTGTAATGGGAAGTAAATAAGTACAAAATACGGATGAATAGCACTAAAAATTGATTTAACTACTCATCCACTTACTCTCAATGGTTGAATTAAAAAACATTGAAATTTAAAAAAAGGTTTAAAAAAAAGTAATGAAAATTTACATTAGCATTTTTTAAATCACACTGTATTCAAATAGATATTTAAAGTAAGTATGTAACTGAAAGTGCAACTAAAAACGTCTATTACAAACATTTTCACTGCTTACTATATTGTATAAAAATTATTTCAATATTGCAAATGCTATAAAAAATATTGAACTTATTTCTTTATTGTAAGAGGACAAAAAATATTAAAGGATATGATAGAGTTTTGAATAAATAAACATGGAATTTTAGCTAATTACATTTCTTAGAAAATAATACGTTTGTTTTTATACGTTCTTAAATATATAAATTTGTCATTCAATTTAGAAAACTTGTCAAACTCAAAAAACAATGCCATAAAAAAAGAACTAACAATACACAGATAAAACAATATGATTCACGATTTCTAAAAGCATGAAAAAAACGTGTACATACCATACCAAGCTTGTTGTTCTCCCTGGACTTCGATAGCCAGGCCAAAGTCAGCAAGCTTGACAGCAGCACCTTTGCTTTTACTTGCTAATAGTAAGTTTTCAGGCTTTAAAGTAAGAGTTCAATCAGACACTTTTTAAAGTAACTAATATACATTCAGCGATATTTAACACTAGACTGCCTAAGGAAGTCATTTTGACTGCTTTTTAATTTCAATTCGAAAAACAATGATGACACAATTTCTTAGAATTTTGTGACTTTTTGTACAACATACAATTTTTTTTTATTGTTAATATTTACTAATAGTTTGTTATATAATTGTAAATAATATAAAACATATTAAAAATTAATTTTAAACAAATTTCTTTAGACATTAGCTATTCTTTCACAATGGAGTCATTTTAACTGCTTTTGGGCAATATAGGTATTTCAGTCTTTCTAGTGTTAAACAAGTTTATTTCTTTCTGTCATGTTAATATTATGTAAGTTTCAAGTTTTTTACGGCATCACTAACATATTTTGTAGCAAAAAAGTATGCCAAAATTTCAAACCTTAATTTAATACTTTTCATAAAAAATTGTAAGTAAAAGAAACATCAGAGAATAGCCTTAACTTGAAGTTACATTAAGTAAAGCTTTAAATTCTCAATATAAATAGTTAACTATTTACAGGGGTAGCAGCAAAGTTTTTTAAAATTTTAGGGTCATTTTAGGAACTTTTTTCAAAAAATTTGAAATCTGTAAAGTGTAAATCAAAAAATTGAATGAAATCTGTAAAGTGTAAAAATGAAATTTCAACTTTACATATTACCTATCAGAAATTAAGTGCATAATTCAGGAACAGGCAAAAGTGAGAATAAATCAAGAGAAAAAATAAATTAACACCAACTTTGATTTTTATTTAATTTTTACCTTCTTAATCAAAACTTTATTATTACCCTTTACCTTACTTTATTAGGAAAAACTAAATGAACCTANAAGATTTATATTTTTAAATTTTAAGAGAATAAATTTCAATTAACAATACAATAGAAAAATTTGTCTTAATGTTATCACTTTTGAAACATGGTATTTAAAAAAAAAAAAAAAACATTTAATATAAATGAAAAATATATTTAATAATTTATGTCAAAATTAAATGCTTCTAAATTTACATGAAAACTACAATAATCCTTAATGTTTAAAGATTAATTTAAAAAAAAAAATATTCACTATAAGTTAAACATGAAAATTAATAAAGCACATTGACTTAATATTTAAAATGCACTTACCTTGAGGTCTCTATGCACAATACTATTTACATGACAGTGGTGTACACTTTCAAGAATTTGTTGAATACAATGACTATATTGAGGGAGAAAATTAGTTTTAGAAGCAATAATGTTAATTTAGGATTTCGTTCCAATAATTTTGAAAATAATTTATGTTTTTCAAGCACTAATATTTTTCTTTACAAAATCAAATCATTAATTTTTTTTCAAGTAGAATTTAACAAATTTACATAATTAAGAAATTACTATATAAATATTAAACAAAAGAAAGAAATGAAATTGGAAAATAAAAATGTGAAAAAAAATTGAAAAATTCCCTATTATGATAATTTATATCTTCAATGGATCAAAGTCCATAGAGAAAGAAATGAAAATTTTATAATCATTTTATTTCATTAGTAATGTAACTGCGCTCTTTAAAGGAAACACCCAAATTTATTAAATAATACTTAAACAAAAAAATACTACTACTTAAATAAAAAATAAATAAATACTTAAATTAAAAATAAATACTTAATAAAAAAAATGGCATTGTTTTAGCCTATTTATGTTGGCATATGACTCAGTTTTGCACATGATTTTATAATTTCGATTAATACACAGTTATTTACTTTTTTTTTATTCTGTCGGAATAATAGTTTATATATATGTATGTTGTGTATATGTGTGTGTGTATATATATATATATATATATATACACATAACAAAAAAATATTTTCATATGGTAATAATGAGTTTCTTTTATTTTGATATGACAGAAAAAAATTTGGCATGATATAATTTCAAGCTAAAAAGCAGTATTCTAAAGTGTATCTTTTGCACTTCTTTAATTCTTCCAATGTTTTTCACTTGGATTTAGGATTTTTTACACAAATACATATGAAATAATAATCTATTTTGTTATGAAGACAAAACATAAATTATTAAACTATAGCTCAACATTTTCTCACAATATGTAATAAAATTTGAGAATATTTATTTTCAAAGATGGAAAATCTCGAAAACAAACCTGGCATCAGCTTCACTATAATATTCCCTAGCTACAATATCTTCAAACAACTCTCCTCCAGTAACTCTAGAAGAAATGAAAAGAAAATTAGGGAGTAATAATAATAATACAAAAAAAAACTTCAATTTTTTTAAAATAAGTAAAGATAGATCATAAAATTGAAATGGCCAAAAAAAGAAGAAAAAAACTTACAAATCAAATATTAGGTAATGATATCCTTCTTCTTGTATGCTATCATGTAACCGCACTGAAAATACAAACAACCATTATCAATAACTAACAATTTAAGTTCAATAAAATTTAACAATGAACAAGATTGTTGGGAGCAACAATTGGTAATATGCCATCCATATAAAACTGCCAAGTTTCTCAAAAATGAGGATTTAAACAATCAATGAAACAAAAAAGGAAGGAGACAGAAAAATGATTTGCTGCTTCTTTTTTAAATATCAGACAGCTTATTCTCTGAACAACTATTCTACAACAGATAACTGAACTGGCTATTCAAACAGATTATTGAAAAAGTCTAAAACAATGTTTTGTGCTGCATGTCAGACCATTCAAACAGAAATATTAGCAAGGTGGGATGCTAATTTTGATCTCAGACTCTGCCATGTTGTTACTGCAAATTTCATTTTTTTAAAGAATTGTTTTAAAGCTAACTAATTACCACTTTTATAAATTGATGCTATTTGCAAATTTATATATATACACACACAAGCACACAGAGTTCTCCCTAGGAATAAAAAAAAAAAGAAAAGAAAAAAAAGGGGGAAGGGCACTTCCCCTCACAAAAGGACACTTAGAGTGAGTTTTGAATGGACTGAACACCATAAAAATTTATCAAACTGTGTAATATGAAGTACCGTATATTCCGGCGTATAACGCGCACTTTTAATGCAAAAAATAAAATTGGAATTTACGGGTGCGCGGTATACGCCGAATATAAAAAATTATAGATTAAAAAAATTTAAATATAGAAAAATACTTTTATTTTAAAGAAATAACATACCTTTACCTATATACTTCATTGATTTTCGTTATTACATAAATAGTTCATTATATTCGTCTTCCGCTATCAATTACAATTATTAAATT